GAAATAGTGCTCTTTACTTTTTTATTAATTACTCATTAATCCTGCTAAAAATTACACTAAAACTTCTACTTTTAAAAACAGATAAAATATCTATTCTTAAATACATTGTTTTAATTTCTGGACGACTTTGCGCTGTTACTAAACTATTGGGGTCGTGTTTGTGTCTCGATCAAGGACATGGATTCGTTTGTCATGGATCGAACTGAGGATATTTTATCGCCACTACTGATGAAAATCGGCAACAGGTTGTATCGCAAGAACCCAACTAAATCAACTAATTCCACATTAGTTCCAGTTGGTTGTCTCGAAAATGAATGTGAACCTGATGAAGATGCCATTAATGATGATTTCGGCTCAGATCAGACCTGTTATTTTGTAGAGGATATTCACTCTGAGTCTGGAGGATGTGTTGCGAAACTTTATGTCCCACGAGTTTTCTATTCTCGCATAATTGGTACAAGACAAGTCAAGAAACATGAGCTTGAGTCAGAATTCCTCTGTCGACTCACTTTTCCCTCTCCTCAGTCTACCCTTTCCCATATCAAGATCTTTTCCAAGTCTGAAGCTGGTATTCTCGGCGTAGTTCGGCGCATTGCTTGGATTATCTCCGAGTCTAGATCAAAAATGAACCCTACTCACTTTGTTTGTATACCTCTCATCAGTAATGAAATCAAAGGGTCATACTTGACATTTAAAAAAGATGTTTTGAAACACGCTGAATCTGATGCTGTAGGAGCTTTCCGTGGTATTGATGATGATCTTTTTGTTTCCGAGCACAAACTCCATTTCACTCTTGCAACGCTGTTTCTTGCTGACCAGAAGGAAGTTAGACTAGCTTCACAGTTGTTGACTTCTTTCATGGATCACACAGATGAGGGTAAGACGTTCGATCGTTCACCATTATGTTTAACCATTTGTGGACTTGGCTGCATGAATGATGATCCCAGGTCAGCGCAAGTCCTCTATTTGTCCGTAAGTGTTATCAATGTTCTCGTTACTCCCTCGCATTTTTTTCCTTTCAAGATCCAATTGATGCTTTACTATCTTTGGGCAAATAAAAATGTAATTTTTGCCATGGTTAATTCATT